AAAATACCCATATATGTAAAATTAGAGAAAATAATTTTTTAAAGGACATATATATATATATATATATATATATATATATATATATATATTCATTCATTCCAGGTGGTGGTGGCTGCACAGTCTTTAATCCCCGCACTATCCATAGCTAGTTCATCAATCATGTCTCAAAGCACACATCCTTGGACCTTGGCAGGTCATTTGTTCTTACTAAGAGGTGTTTTTTTTTGGGGGGGGGGGTTTGCACTGGAGCCCTTTATCTTTTCTCCAAACTTGCTTATTTTTGCAGTTAGTTTTGTCTTTTGTTTTGTTTGCAGTTTTTGTTTGTTTAAACTATTACTCAGGAAAGTCTAAGTAACACCACACACACAAGCACACATGTTTTTTGTTCCATGACTGTAGCTCTTCTGCACAGGGTGATGACACTGCTCTCACTAATGTCTGTTTCGTCTCCTAACAGGTGGGTGAATTCTCAGGCGCTAACAAGGAAAAGCTTGAAGCCTCTATTACTGAGTTTGCCTAATCATGGCCTGGAAAACATAACCAGCCACCAGCTGTTTAAAGCCTGTAACTTTTTTAATTTTCAAAAAAATATGAAGTGTGGAGAACCTGTACCCAACTGCCATCTGATTATAAATGACAATAAAATATTAATTCTACCCTTTTTAAAACTGTCTGGTGTCTTTTAGTACAAATGAGAAATGGCCTGATTTAATCCCCTTATTTTCAGTAACATTTAGCCTCCGATTTTCTTGTTGTTGTTGTTTTACTATTAAAAAGGTAGGAGCCTGGAGAGATAGCTCAGTGGTTAACAGCATTAGCTGTTCTTGCAGAGGACCTGGGTTTATGACTTCCCAGCCCCTACATGGCAGCTAACCAACTGTTACTACAGTTCCAAGGGATCTGATGTCCTCTACTGGCTTCCCTGAGCACCAGGCATGCATGCAGTACATGCGTATTCTTACATGCAAGTAAAACATACACATTAAAAAAAAGAAAACCTTAGCCAGGCGTTGGTGGCGCACGCCTTTAATCCTAGCACTCGGGAGGTAGAGGCAGGCGGATCTCTGTGAGTTCGAGGCCAGCCTGGTCTCCAGAGCGAGTACCAGGATAGCCTCCAAAGCCACACAGAGAAATCCTGTCTCAAAAAACCAAAAAGAAACCTTAAATCTTAAAAAATATTTAGAAATACATAGTTCTACAAAAATCTCTTGTTAATGCAATTACATTAAAGTGTTTAGGGGTTTTGTTCTTTAATAAACAGAAAATTCTAGCCGATAAATAGACCCACTGTGTGGTCATGGCATAACTGATGGTTCACTTGTGATGAAATGGTGACTGATCTTTGAAGTCTGGTTTGGGGCAGTGGTGGCAGACGCCTTTAGTCCCAGTACTCGGCAGGCAGAGGCAGTCAAATCTGTGAGTTTGAGACCAGAACTACAAGAGCTAGTTCCAGGACAGCCTCCAAAGCCACAGAGAAACCCTGCCTAAAAAGTCTGGTTTTAGTGGTGATGTATGCCTGTGGGCCTCATTAAACTCTGTGTACATACATGGAGATTCCAAACTGAGTAGGAAAGTGGAAGTGACTTGGAAACCCTTGTTCCATTGTAATAAGTAAGGAAAGGGGGACTACCTGATAGTTTTCAAATTGATAATGAAAGACCTATGTCTTCCAGTCTTATGCTAAGCATCTTTGCAGTAACTTGGTATTGATGCCATAGTTCCCAGTCACCAGTGAAGACAGGCATAACAAGGATTAATGTTCCCAACATCCCAGTCAGTAGGATTTGAACCAGAGTTGTGACCCCAGAATACATCGCTCTTAGTAACAATCCAAGGACTGTGTGGTAATTGGGTCTAGGTTTCTTGCCTCTAAAAAAAAAATTACAATGAAGAACTTGGAATCAATGATTGACTGATGTAATGTATTATGTCCAAAGCACTATGGTATATAGCTGTAAAAAAAAAAGACCCTGAGCATATTGCTTACCCAGCAGAGAAGGCAAACTAGAAAAGGCCTGTGTAGGGTACATTTTGTGAGGCAGAAAGAACCAGGAGACTGGCCACACTAATAGAGGAACAGACCTGCTCCAGATCAGGTGGTTGGGTAGGGTTCTGTGAGATGGCAGAGCCGAAACTTGATAGATGAAAAGGACTCCTGTAGGGGACACCTGCAGCCAGCCTCTAACAGGCGTGACTTACTGTCCCCTACAGACTCCGACTGCCAAATGCCAGGGAGTCAGCTTTCCAAATGAGTGTACCAGGCACAAAGGGTCCAAGGTGAAGAGGGTGGTACAGAAACCAAAGCATGAAAGGAAGATGGAGTAGCAGAACTCAGTCATCCCAGGCTTCACTTGTGTAGGTGATGGGAAGCCACTGGACGATAACTGGTGTGGTGGTAAAAAGGTTCATTTCAGCATGAGAATGGAAATTAAAAATGAAAGCCAGATGGACCTCTGCAGATAAAAAGACAGTGATGAGAGATGTGGGGAGGCTGTAGGGATGGAATGAGCAGTCCGAGGATTCAGGAGAGCAGGACCCAAGAAGGCATCCTCACTTTCTGAAACACCTGGGGTTCTGTGTCTTAAGATGAGGGTCTGAGCAAGCATGTGAAGGCAACGAAGTCTCTAGAAATTTCAGGTTGTACATTCAAATAAAAAGGCTTGGAGGGCTATTGGGTACTTATTTTATATTTACTGTGCAGCGCAGCACTAAGCACAGAGCTAAATCCCTGCCCTAATACGATGCTAGACAGGAACAGGAATTGGAAGACCTAATGTAGATGCCCTTTAGGAACGTTTGGAAGAAATCAAGGAAGAGAATACAGAGTGAAGATGAAGCCTAAAGAACTAACATTTGGAGATGGGAGACACAGAATAAATAGGAAGAAACAAAGGAGACTTCCAGGCAGCCAGAGTGGAAAGGGGACCAAATGGTGCTGAGAGATTTAGAAAGGTGAGGAGTACTCCTGATGGGCTTAGGCTGGGGTGGGAGGAGCAGGGAGGGAAGACAGACTTTTTTTTGTAATTATTGCATTTTTATTAATTCCAATCCCAGTTCCTCCTCCCTCCTTTCCTCCCACTTTCTCCACTCTCCCCTCCTCCCATCGGCTCCATGGAGAGGGTAAGGCCTCCCATAGGAAATCTACTAAGTCTGTCCCGTCATCTAGTTGAGGCAGGACCAAGGCACCTCTTCACCCTGTATCTAGGCTGGGCAAGGTATCTCTCCATATAGAATGGGCTCCCCTAAGTCAGTTTGTGCATTTGAGTTAGTTCTTGTACCCACTGCCAGTGGCCTCATATAATGTCCCGGTCACACCATTGTCACCTATATTAAGGGAGTCTAGTTTGGTCTTATGCAGATTCCCCATTTGTCAGACCCAAGTCAGTGATCTCTCACTGTGGGTTTTCCCATCACGGTCTTGACTCCTTTGTTCATATTTTTGCTCCTCCCTCACTTTGATTGTACTCCAGGAGCTTGGCCCATTGGTTAGTTTCGGATTTCTGCATCTGCTTCTGTCTGTTTCCGGAAGAGGGGTCAAGCTTCTCTGGGGTTATGGATTGTAGGCTGGACATCTTTTGCTTTATGGAAGACAGACTCTTAAGTGCTGCTTGTACCAATGGCTGAAATTAGTTCTCTATCTCATCCTGCACAAAAATGAAACTCAAAACCATCAACAACTTCCCTGTAAGACCAGAAACAAGCCATACTTGGTGGTGACACCTACTAGCCCAGAACTGGGAACATGGAGGCAGGAGTGAACTAGCCTGGGCTACCTAAGAGCCTCAAAAAAAAAAAAAAAAAAGAATTATGGAAATAGAAGTGGGTGATGCCGCAGAAACTCCTATAGTGTGATACAGATGGAAGCCAGATGGGTGGGAACAGAAATGATTTCTTACCAGTATCTTACAGGAAGTCACCCTCTTTTGTAAAGAAACACATCTAGGGGATTTTGCATCATCATTCAGAGCAGCACACTTGGTAACCATGAACAAAGGCATGCATTCATTAATCCATTGTGCTGTGCTCTTGACTGGATGTGATATGACCAGTTCCTTCAAGCTCCTGTCACCTTGACAGCCAGTGATGATGGATTGTGTGGGACCTGGGATTGTGAGCTGAACAAGCCCATTCTCCCTTGAGTTGCTTTTGTCAGGGTATATAGAGTAAATGCTGTTCATACTGAGATAGGAAAAAGTCTCTGAGACAAATTACCAAACCGCATTAGAAACCCATACAAGTATGATTGAATATGTATAGAACACAAGGCATGCTAACTCTCCCTACAAGCAAGTCTGTATGTAAATTAACATGAAATGCTCTCTCAGGACACATGCCAGCTAAGCACAGAGGTGAACAGAGAAGGTGTAAGGTAAGATAAAGTCTAGTTTTATCTCTAAGTATTGAGGTGTTTCATAACACTAACAAACAATTCCAGGTCACAGTTTGTCACTGCTGGAGGTCAAAGTGACAGGAGTTTGAAGCAAATGGTCACATCATACCTGCAGTCAAGAGCAGAGCACAATGGATTATGAATGCATACCTTTGCCCAACTCACTCGACTTCTCTACCTTTACACACTTTGGGGTTTCCAGCGTGGGGAATGATGCAGCCCACAGTTGTATTTGGTTTAAGTAGGTTATCAGTGGTAATTGCCATTTCAGCTAACTATTGCTGAAATACCTGAAGAGCATTAAAATTAACACAAATATTTTGGTTGTTTTATGCCTTTTGTAGAAGATACTATTGTGGCAACTAAATACCCTCCCATGCATTTACTGACATCTTTTCTGATGTTCCTTTGAAGTCTTTCGTAGTTGGTTGTTTTTATGCTCTTTTCTCTCTGGGGGCCAGCCACCCAGCTCCCAAATACATGCATGGAGGCTTATTCTTTCTTATGAATGCCTGGCCTTAGCTTGGCTTATTTCTAATCAGCTTTTCTTAAATTAATCCGTCCTTTTGCCTCTGGGCATTTACCTTTCTCTATTTCTGTATACCTTTCTTTACTTCTTGGTCCATGGGTTGCTGTGTAGCTGGGTGGCTGGCCCCTAGAGTCTTCCTCTCCTTCTTTTGCTCCCTGATCCTCTCCTCCCAGAGTTCTCCTCTATTTTATTCTTTCTGCCTGCCAGCCCGGCCTATCCTTTCTCCTGCCAGGCTATTGGCTGTTCAGCTGTTTATTATACCAATCAGGAGTTTTTGACAGGCAAAGTAACCAGCTGCCCAGAGTTTCCGCAGGTGTCAATATAAGGGAGAAATAATGGTGCTTCCTTAAGGTCAAATAAAGTCATAAATCTGCACAAACCAGACTTTGGTTAAAAAGAGCGAAGTGGCTAGCATTGGGATTAGGGATTTTCTTTTAGTTTTTGTTGTTGTGTTTTGTTTTTCAACACAGAGTTTCTCTGTGTAACCCTGGTGTCCTGGAACTCCCTCTGCAGACCAGGCTGGCCTCAAATCCAGAGATTCACATGCCTCTGCCTTGAGAGTGCTGGGATTAAAGGTGTGTGCCACCACTGCCTGGCCTTTGGGGTTAGGGATTTTCAGTACGTTCTCCCTGAGTTTAGTGCACACAGATAGATCTGTGCACAGGTTCATATGCCTACAGTGCAAGGGAACAGCAGAGCAGAGGCCTGGGACTTGAAATGGAGCCACTCACAGCCTGAATAACAAGACA